ATTTGATAAAAGTTGAATTCTAACATGGAACACTTTTTTTTCCAGTTGTTGTTGGGGGAGGTTGGGGTCACACGTGGCAGGACTGGGAGGCCAGGAGGTGTGTGCTGCTGGGCCGGGGATTGAACCCAGGGGCTCACATCTGCAAGCCCTGTCCTGTGCCCAGCCATGAGCCACATTCCCACGTCTGGCATGGAAAACATCTTGATAGAATTGAGTCGAATATAATTTTTTTTTCTTTTTTTGGGTCACACCCAGCGATGCTCAGGGGTTATTCCTGGCTCTGCACTCAGGAATTACTCCTGGCGGTGCTTGGGGGACCATATGGGATGCCGGGGATCGAACCCAGGTCAGCAGCATGCAAGGCAAACGCCCTACCCGCTGTGCTATCACTCCAGCCCTTAAAATTACTATTTAAAAATGACCGAGTTGTTTATAAGGGACAAATCTGACTCTTACTCTATTCTTTCCCATACCTGACCTTAACTCCATTCCTGATTTCCATATCTGATTCCCTCGGCGCTGTGGAACATTGCTAATTTCCAGAGTCGACAACTGGCATTGGATGGAACTCAAAGTGAAAGTGAGAATGTGGGTTTGGGTTTTTTGTTTGTTTGTTTTGAGGGGCCACACCAGGCTTGTGCTCTGGGGTCACTCCGAGTGGTGCTCAGGAAGCCATGCAATGCTGGGGATCAAACCACAGTTGACCGCATACAAGGGAAGTGCCTTAACACTATACTATCTCTGGCCTGAGAAACCCTTTTTCCTACCACTTGATAGGGAAAAAAGTTATGACTTGGTGTTCAGAGTAAAAGTCCTCATAAGAATACTACAGTGTCAATGTGTCCGACAGTCAAGGACTACTTCAGACTGTGAGACTTCAGACTCTAAGACTAAATCTTAGGGCAGGCTCCCAAGTGAAAAGCCAGAGGTCCCACGGGGGAGAGAAAAAGGCACCTCCTGCAGGGAATGAAATATTTAGTATCCTTAAGAAGCGACTGGTGGGCTGTCTGCCGGGAATAGTCATCCCACACTGTTCTGATGAGATCAGGCACAATATCCTGGGGACAAAAGAGGGCATCATGGCTCAGACTGGCCCTCCTTCCCACAGTGTCCAGTCTGAGAGGTGGACATGCCTCAAGCAAAGCCTGCCTCTCTGCATGACGTCTATGGCATGGGCCCTGGAGCAAGCAACTCTGAAATCTCTCCCCCAGGACTGTAGGCCACACAGACTGAGAGTCTGGGGACTGCTGGGACTGACTCAGCTACTTCGTGGACAGTCAGTCACCCCATCTCAAACTTTCTCCTTTTTAGTGGTGGGGTTTTGGGGTTGGTTTTTGGGCCATACTCAACAGTGCTCAAGCCTTTCCCCCTGGCTCTGCACTTAGGAATCACTCCTGGCAGACTCAGGGAACCATCTGGTTGCAGGGGATCGAACCAGGGTCTGCTGCGAGCAAGACAAATGCCCTACCCTCTGTATCTCTCCTAGCCCTCGAACTTTCTCTTTCTGTGGAAAGCTCTTTGCTTAACTTTCTCTTTCTGATGAAAGCCCTTTGTGCCTCAGCACCATCATGTTTTTCTGTCAGTTGCAACTAAAAGATGGAATGGAAATCTACATGCCCTAATGTGAGTGAAGGCTCAGTCAGTTAGTGATAGCTCTCTGTGAGCCCTTTAAGCTCTGCCACCTTGGAAGGAGGTTTTGATAAACACAGTGTTCCAGGTAAGATGAGGGCTATATTTGCGTCAGACAGGATCCATCCTCAGCTGACTGAACTATGGAATCAGCAGAGATCTAGTGGCGCCGAGAGATGAGTTCAGATCTCCAAAGCATTAGTCACCGGCTGCTCCCACTCCCTGGGGGCCAGCAAGGTTGCGGTTCCAATTACATGGGATTGATGAGGGACCTCTAGGATGATGAAAGGGGGGAGAGGAGATGTCAGGACATATGATAAATCACCCAGCCTGGAGAAGATGGGGCCAGTCTTTACATTTCTGAGGAGGCGGGGCTGGATGGGGCAAGGGGGCAATAACACAAGGGCAAGGGCTGGGAGATAGTAGAAGGTTTAAGGAGTTTTCTTTGCATATGGTCAACACTGGTTTAAAACCCAGCACCCCATGGCACTCCCAATTCCCCGAGAACCAACGGGAGGAGTCCCTGAACATAGATATGAGAGTATCCCTGAGAACAACCACATGTGGCCCAACAACTAAACAAAGGGGGGGGGGGGCTGGAGCGATAGCACAGCGGGTAGGGCATTTGCCTTGCACGCGGCCAACCCGGGTTCGATTTCCGGCATCCCATATGGTCCCCCGAGCATCACCAGGAGTAATTCCTGAGTGCATGAGCCAGGAGTAACCCCTGTGCACAAGCCGGGTGTGAAAAAAAAAATTGAAAAATAAATTCAAGAGTCAGGGGGGCATCTGGGACTTAGACCCTCATCCTAGCTCTGCCATTAGCTAGTAGCTGTTTTGGGGGGTGGGGATGGGAATGGTGGGCCTGGTATGTGGCTCAGTAATAAGAGTATAGGCCTTACATGAATAAGGGCCTGGGTTTGATCCCCAGCACTGCAACAAAATGAATCTAATAAAAACAAACATTGTAGGGCTGAGGAGGTAGCTGAAAGGGTTGGCATGCATGCTTTGTGTGTGGTGACCCTAAGTTCAGTCTCCAGTACTGCATGGCCCCCACTCTCCCTGCCCCCCAATTTCTAGGTGTAGCCCTGAAGGCCCCCAGCACTGCACTGCTGAATGCGCACAGCCAGGTTCTCCCACGAGTGGCCGCAGGGCCCCTGTGAGCATCACTGCAGAGCATCCCTACCCAAAAACAAAACAGCATTATATGAATCAACTTCTTACCAAGATCGAATTGGGGATGATTTTAGCCCATAGAGGGTAAAAAACAGATTCTTTTGTGTGAGGTAAGAATGAACAGTAAGTATGAGCACTAACTTTGGAACCTGGGCTGGAGTGATAGCACAGCGGGTAGGGCGTTTGCCTTGCAAGCGGCCAACATGGCCGACCTGAGTTTGATTCCTCCGCCCCTCTCGGAGAGCCCGACAAGCTACTGAGAGTATCTTGCCCACACAGCAAAGCCTGGCAAGCTCCCCGTGACATATTCAATATGCCAAACACAGTAGCAAGTATCACAATGGAGACGTTACCAGGCCCGCTCGAGCAAATCGATGAACACTGGGAGGACAGTGACAGGACAGTGACAGAGCTTTGGAACCTAACTGTTTGTTCCAGTCCTTGCTCCAGCACTTCCATGTTGGGTGAGTGTGGCTGCAACTAGCAAAGCCTTCTAAACCTCTTTTCTGCTCTGTTGTAGGAGGATAACATGGCCCTACCTTTCAGGAATGCTGTCAGGATTAAATGATACAACATGTGAAACATTTATCACAGTATCTGGCACGGAACAAGTGCTCATTAAGTAGTAGCGCACTAAGGCAAAAACAAAATATGGCACTTTTATTATTAATAGCAACAAAGATTTCTCAAGTGCTTTTCAATTACAAAATGCGCACTTCTAACACTGAAACCCTGGCTCCCATCTTTAAATCCTCAAATGGGCAAATTAGTGACCCCATTTTGCAGAAAAAGAAAGAAAGTCTCTGAAGGGTCCACTGGCTCCAGATCAAATGGCAAAAAAAAAAAAAAAGTGTCAGAGTCTGAATTCAGCCCTGGATGCAACTGCATGAAGATGAGTAATTATATATGCACACTTGGCAGGCCAAGCATCTAGGGACCATCTGGCTTCGCGGGCCGAGGAGGGCTGTATTTCTGAGCAGCTTCTTTTTTTAGATGAAAGCAAGATGGGGAAAATAAGCTGGCAAACCGCTTTCCCTCGCTTTCAATATTGGTGTGATTTGTACTCAGTTTTGCTTCCTTCTAGCTTGCAAATGTTACATGTCCATGATTCCTGGTTTGTTCCTTGACTGCTGTGTCACTGGCTCTGCCCTGAGCCCCACAGCTGGGATCTGGGGAAACCAAAGGAAAAGGAGGCAGGGCAGCTGGAGACATCAGAGGGCTGGACAAACACCAGCTGTTCCAGAACCTGCTAAAGGGCCGCAGGGGGTCGGGGGTAAAGGGGAGAGGAGACAGAAATCCCTTTTCCCCATGTCAGTCAACAGGAGGATGCCTTTCTCATCCAACAGATGGGTCTTGCCCTGGAATAATATAATAAAGTACAATACTAAATATGGCACAGAACATTTTTCTCTTGGGGAGCAGGAAGCCAAGGATCAAATGTTAGTTGAAATTTAATTAAGGAGGCTTTCAAAGAAGGTCCATGGGGTGAAAGGTGGGCCTACAGGATCAGCAGTATTTGTGTGGAGAGAATGGGTGAATGAGCCTTGCAAACAAGAAAACACCTCGCCGTGATGGACAGAATGCGAGCGTCCTAATGAATCTAGTGTGATCTCTTATGTCCCTCTGTCACACTGTAGGCACAGGGATAAGTGGTACCCTAGAAGGAAAAGGGGGAAGATAAAGGGCCCTGCAAGGATATGTCATGAAGTTAGAATTGAATATTGTATGAGTCTAGTAATCCTGAGGAAGGCCAAGAGGGCTAGCTGTGTTAGGACGCTCACTAGAAGGAGCTATGGGCTGTTGGGTGCAAAGTAAGAACTCATCCAACTTTAACTTGACTTGTCAGAAGGAGGAAGGATGTAGGATCTCTGTCTAAATTACCTTCTTTCCTAAATGATGCACATTTTGTGCCTAGAACTTCACAACAGACCACAAGAAGGCCTTCATGGATAAAGTCCTATATTGGGAAGAGAATAAAAAAACGCAAAAGAGGACTGGAGAGCTAGTATGGTGGATGAGGTGCCTTCCTTGCAAGCAGCCAACTCTGGTTTGATTCCTGGTACTCCATATGGTCCCCAGGCACCAATAGGAGTGACTCCTGAGCACAGAGCCAGAGCCCTCCACATCCCTCCCTCCCTCCCCCCTCCAAAAAAAACTAAAGAAAACAAAGAATAACATACAAAAGAAACCCCAAAATATCGTTGTTTTTGAAAATAATTGTTGGGATGCAATTTATTAACATACCAATCAATATGAAGGATTGCCTGGCTTACTGAAAAGTCATTTATCCGGTGTCTTCCAATTCCCTGGAAGCTAAATGAAAACAAGACAAAGGACCAAAGATAGTACTTCTAAGCAGTCGAAGGAAGTTCAAGCACAGAATTCAGTGTATTTCAGTTTCAATAAATGAGTCCCTAAAGTGGCTGGAGTGATAGTACAGCAGATAAGGCACTTGCTTTGCACACGGCCAACCCAGGTTCAATCCTGGAACCCTGAGCCTGCTGGAGTGATCCCTGAGTGCAGAGCCAGGAATAAGCCCTGAGCTCAGCCAGGTGTCCCCAACCCACATAAAGGAGCCCCTAAGCATTCAACTATGTGATTTTAAGTAGCTGTAAATAACATGACAAGTCACATCTTTGAAAGAAGCAGAGTGAGCTGCTAGGAGTTGGCACATTGAAGGCAATCGGAGGTAATGGCTGGCAGTTTGTCCACAAGGGCAACAACACAGACAATGAAAAGCAACCAAAGAACTAAGAGAACAGCTGCCGCAGACCACGGAGGAGATGAGCAAAACAGCTCCCAAATCTTCCAGGCCCAAAAGTGCCGCTATTCTGACCTAAGACTTGGGCACAACGTATTTTGGCTCTCTTGGGATAACACAGAATGTGAGGCATGGTCAGGTGACTTGCTTCGGCCAATGAAGTGTGAATGAAAATAGATCACTTCTGGGCAGGAGCTTTAAGATGTAGTAAGATTCACCAGAGCCTCTTCTAGCACCACCAGTGTGACAGCAACACTTCCAGGGAATGGCTGGTGTGCCCGTCAGGGATCTCATGGGAAGATAAAAACAATGCAAGGCCCACAGAGAACTAGTCATACTTTTTGTTGCTTTTTTTTGGGAACTGCCTGCTGCTTTGTCTCCCAACTGAAACAGCCTAAAGAGTTAAAGGGGGTTTGTGAGAAGCGTGTGCATTACTGTTCTTGCATTTTACCAATGCCATCAGATATTCTATTTTGTGGCTTAAAGGATCATTTTCAATTATATGGAAGATTCACCTGAATAAAGGAGTCATCACCAGAATGTGAACTGAATGGATCCTTTTTCCAAACAACTTCTTTCTTGAGGATCCATATCTACAAAAATACCTGCCTTGCTTATGGGTCCAAGGTAGAAAGTGGGTCTCATAACAATGTTGCCAGAATTGGTCCCTCAGCACATCTGGAACCAGCCCAGGGCACAAGGGGTGGCAGCACGTGCTCTAGCCAACACTTGGGGTAAAGGGGGCTCTATTATGTATCTAATTGTGCTCTCAATAAAAGCTAATCTATAATGTGTCACTGAGTCAAACACTGAGACAAGGATAGCCTTCTAAGCATCTATGGGACATTTACAAATTTGACCTCACATTCAGTGAGTCAGTTTTAGAATGAAAACCATTATGGGTCATTTTCTCTAAGCAATTAAAGCAGCTGGAAAAAATCTCCTATGTATGAATGTAAGAAATATACTTTTAAACTGCCCCTGAGGTGGTGCTTTTTCACTTTATTCTCCTGAATTATTCATAATACTGATAGTCATTTTAGAAAGGCAGGGATGAAGGGGCCAAAGAGATAGCTTAGTGTGCTGAGTATATGCTTTGCATGCTGGAGGTCCTGATGTGACCCCAACATGGCATGGTTCCCTAAACAGCACCAGATATGATCCTCAAACACTGAGCTGCATGTAGCCTTGAGAACACTGGTATGACCAGAAGGGGGAAAAAAAAGGAAAGGAAAAGCAGGAATCAAGAGTGGAAAGAAGAAATGAATTCATTTAGCAGTTGGTGGAGCTAAAACTCACAACCAGGCTGTAGAACTCTATCCTCTAGACTAAGTCTATGTCTCATGAGAATTCACAGACCGCCCCCTGCATGTGATGTTTCACCTCTGAGAAGGAATAGCTCCTAAGACCTCATCCCAGCTGGTGTTGGTGGCGAGGTGAACCTATTGTTGTTGTATAGGAGTGTATGTCCCTTCTGCTTTCACTCAATTCTGCAACTTGGAATGATGTGAAAGTCTAGTATAGTGGAGAGAAGTCTTTCAAGCTGAGTTTCCTATTCAGCTCTGAACTAGGAAGACTTTCTTCTAAGGTTGTTGTTTTTTCCGTACGTGGGCACAAGTGATAAGTGATAAGTGATAAAAAAAAAAAGGCAGAAGGAAAAGTTATTTCCAGATGGCTCTCTTCATCTAGTACTAATGCAGATAAACTATTTTGACATATTGTTGGACAAGTGCAGGTTTTGGGTGTTTTTGGAGGGAAGGGTGGGAGGGCATTGGCCACAACCAGTGGTGCTCAGGGCTTACTCCTGGCTCAGCGAGGGCTCAGCAATCACTCCTGGCAGGGTTAGGGGGCCATTTGTGGTGCCAGAGACTGAACCTGGGAAGGCCGCATGCAAGGCAAGTGCCTTACCCACTGCACTATCTCTCCAGCCCATAACAAGTATTAATATTATTCATACTTATGCATAGGGCCAACTCAGTCTGTATCTTGACTTTAATTTGGGGTCAGGGCCTCCAAGCCAGAAAACAGATTACTACATCTGCCTCAGATATCATGAGCAAACTGGAGGCTCCTAACATCTTCAGTAAGAAGCTAGATCAACCAACGTGCTCCTCATCTGCCAGGGTGGCCTCCTAACCTCTTACTGACCAAACCACCTCCCCACTCCAGTGAGGGCTACCTAATACTATGGGTTGGACCCTGTTGTTTTAGCAAAATTCCAAGACAACCAGAGGTCTGAGGTTCCCCTTCATACCTCGGTTTCTCTCCCTATGCTATGAGGACAATGCTGTCTGCCCCCTCCATGGACTCACATGTGTGCCAGCCCAGAACTATGTGTCAGGCTATGAGAAAGTTTGGAGAAACAGAAAATCAGATGATGGTTGCACAGACCTGAGAAAATTAAAGTGCTCAGAACTCACCAAGCATCCCTGGGAAGAGAGAAGGCTGAGAGACAGGAAGAAAGAGGGCAGACTGGGCTAGAGGTTCTGAAGGTGGAAATTTCACTTCCTCCTTCAGCTTCTTTTCTTCCACTGCAGAAGCCATGTTGGGCCCAAGTGAGGGAGTAGACGGTTTGAGATAAAAGAGCTCAGTTTAAGTCTGACTCACTCCCCAGCCCCATCCCACTGCCTGTCCCCAACAGCATCAGGTTGGGCCCCCAGGAAGTCAGTCTGGCAATCAGTAAGTGATCCAAGTCCCAACAGGAGTTTGAAATCAACAAGTTCAAAATCAAAGTGTCCATTATCCAATTACCAGTGTGATTACATCCTCTCAATCTTTGAAAAAAGGTCATTGACCACTTTCTGAAAGGAGACTATGTTGTCCAGGGGCAGGCTCCAAATGGGAACTCAGTGACCTTTCACAAATGGCCAGTTACACCTACAGGCTGGACAGACAGTGCGGGGCCCCTGGGATGAGCGATGGTCCAATGCCTTCAATAAAGCTGTTCCACTGATCAAAGTTCTCTTCCAGATCTGAATGGGGGAAAAAAAGAAAGCCAGGTAAATTGTTGTAAGTTAGATCACAGACTAACTACCCGGTGAGAGAGATAGTAAAGGGACTAAGGCTCTGGCCTTGCACCACAGCTGAGCCTGGTTCTATCCTAGGCACCACATATGGTTTCCACCCCCAGCACGGCCAGAAGTAATCCCTGAACACAGCCAGGCATGATCCCTGAGCACAGAGGCAGGAGTACAAATAGGAATGACCCCCAATTTTTTCAAATTGATTTAGCGGGTCATTCTGAAGAGGGGACCTGGGATAGAAAAGGGACAGGTTATGATGGCTGATGTTGGTTGGGAGCAGGAAGCTGGTAACTACCCAGTCAGTGCCTGCAGAATGTGCTTCACAAATGTCTTGCTCCATCAAAAACAACTTAACAATTATAATAATAGATGATAACATTTATTCTTTCAGGACAATTGTTTCATTCTAAATATTGTGCTGAAAATGCATTGTATTTTGTTTTGGTTTTGCTTTGGGGCCACACTCAGCAGTGTTCAGGGGTTATTCCTAGCTAGGCACTCAGGAATCACTCCTGGTGGTGCTCAGGAGACCAAATGGGATGCTGGGATCCAACCTGGGTCAGCTGTGTGCAAGGCAAGTGCCCTAACTACTGTACTATCGCTCTGGTCCCAACATGCTTTGTTTTTCATTGAAATTTTCCCAATACCCCTGGTGAGCTAAGTTCTATTATTAGCTCTAATTTACAGTCGAGAAAACTGAGGCCCAGAGAAGTTTCCTGATTCAAGTCCATTATAGCTGGAAAGTGACAGAGACAGAATTCAAGTTCTGGTTTCTTCCTGGTCATCTCTAAAAGAGTGAGAAAATTACAAGCTTACATCCAGGCTCAGGGATATTGAACAAATAAGGGTCCTTTACCTCCCAATCAGTGGACACAAACACAGTGCCTGGGCAGAGGAATAGGACAGCAGCATGCGGCAGCAGCAAAACCCTGAGTATGATTCTATGAATGGTACGGGATTAGAACCAGACAGATGGTTCTAATTACATGGCCAAAACAGTCAGAAAAAGGGTCCAAGGCCTCAGGCTGCAGGAGGAGGGGACAAGGATAACGTCTCTGGTCAAATCAGCACCTGAGACAAGCGGCAGGGACCCCGCTATCATGTTTGAATCCCCAGTGCCCTGCTTGGGATAGAGTAGGCCTCCAACAGTCAGTGTAAATATTCACGAACTCCACAAAGTCCTGAGCACACCATGATGTTCCAGTCTGTGGGTGGTGCTAAAACACATCCACACCCAACAGGAACTCTCACTGGCATTGGGCTCACCGTGTAGCAGGCAGAGGTAACAATAGAATTCATCACACAGGGTGTGAAAGGCAGCAGTGCTACCATGCTGGAGAGCTGGGAGTGAGGAAGGGAGTTTAGGAAAGGGTGTCGAGGACAGGCCCGACTGGGAGATGGGGGAGTCAGATGACTGCAGGCTTGCCTGGAATTGGTGGGCTTCACTTACTGCATCCCTGACGCTTCCAGATACTGCATTTGTGTTTTTCATAAAAGGCAGGTCTGTGTTGGTCGCTTTGTCCAGCAAGTACTCCCGTCATTTTCCTAACACTGTGCTCACTTCATGTCTCCCTGTGTCACCGTTCATGAGGTTATATACATGGGTTTTTAGACATAGTACTTTGGCATACTTTAGGCAGATGACAGGATAGTATCAATACAACCTTATAATGCCTAGGAAACCAAAATCTTCGTGTAATTTTTTTGGGGGGTGGTAATGCTCAGGGTTTACTTCTGGCTCTGGCTTCAAGGTCACTTCTGGCAGTGCTCGAGGAACCATAGGATTGAACCCTGGTCAGCTGTGTGCAAGGTAAGAGCCCTACCTGCTGTATTATCCCTCTGACTGTGACTTTAGCTGGCTCTAACATTTGGTGACCAAACTGGGGACACAAGATGGGAAGCTGTTCGCAGGGGGATAGTATCTCAAGTCACAAGACTACGTGACTTCAGGAAATAGAGATACTGAAGATGTCTCCACATAAGCCCCAGAAGCAGCAAAGACGGATGATGACAGTCACTGAGAGAAGAGAAAAGCCAAAACGTGGTACTTGGGAGGCAGAGACAGGACTTCACAGAGCAGGGAACCTTGATTCTGACAGAAGCTGCTGAGAGTTGCTGTGATATGAGGAATGAGAAATAATCACTAGATTCTGGAAGTGCTGGCCATTTTGACAAAAGTACTTTTCAGAAACCCTGGGCTACAAAAACCTATATGGGTGGGCTTTTCTTTTTCCGTTAGTTTTTCTGTAGGGCCACATCTAGCTCAGGGCATACTTCTGGTTCTGTGCTTAGGGATCACTCTTAATGGAACTTCAGGGGACCGTATGTGGTGCCGGGGATTGAACCCAGGTCCACTGCATGCAAGGCAAGCACCTCACTCACTATACTATCTTCCTGGCCTATGACTGGGGTGGTTTACAAGAGCTTGGGAAGGGAAGAATCAGAAAAATCAGGACAAACATATTCAGGGTAAACCTGAACAGGTTCCTTTTCACATATCCTGGGAGATTTAAGGAACTCGTCATTGGGGGGTTCATTTTCACTTAAAGTTTTCTTTCTCTCCCTATTGACACCACTTCACCAATAAAGTGCTAGTCTGAGAAACATTTGACGCCCTAGATTTACCTCAATAAAATCAACAAACTTCGATTAAAATGGAACAAAATGGGGGGAGGTTAAAAAAGAAATTAAATTAAATGAAAAATAAATAAATGAATAAAAGCAAGGGACCAGGCCCATGCATTCCCTCTTGTAACAAACCTCTATTGTTTCTAAGTTTGCTGAAGAGCGTCTTGTAATCATAATCAGAACACCAGGACCCACCAGTCAGGGAACTGATTATCAGTAGGCTAAGACTGAAATTAAACTTTTTTTTTTATGGGGTCAACCAGCAGTGTTGAGGGAGGAGAGCGGGTGGCACTCCTGGTGCTGTTCAGTCCAACAGAGTGGACTGTTGGATGGTTCAGTGTTAACCCTGCAGTACAGGGCTTGGGGACTCCCAGGGACAAGCCAGTGGTGCCAGGGGTCACCAGGTTTATGCCTGGCAGTGCCAGGGTGGGTGACGTGCAGTGCTGCGACTGAGTTCAGGATCATTCACATGCTAGCATGTGCTCATACTTAAGAGCAATCCACCCCGCCCAAGAAAGGTATTTATGGAGCCATGGAGATAGTACGAGGTTAGGGTGTATGCAAAGCATCACATGTCTACCACTAGCACTGCCAGGTATAGCCCTGGAGGTCCCTGAGTGGTCCCTTGCAGGGTCCATGTGGCACTATATCCTGGGGCCTTTGCATTACATGAAGCAGAGAATGTGGGGAGGTGGGGAGGTTTGGGTCACACCCGCCCGCTCAGGGCTTACTTTTGGCTCTGCACTCAGGGATCACTCCTAGTAGGGTTCACAGGACGATATGGGGTGCTAGGGATTGAACCTGTGTTGGCACATGTAAGGCAAATGCCCTACCTACTATACTATCACTCCAGCCCTGGTCCTCGCATTGAGGTACTGGCCTGGTAAGCCAAGTAATTCCTGAAGTGGCCCCAGGTCCACTGGGCATCACTTAAGAGACCCCCTTCCCACAAAGAAAAAAAAATTTTACTGTTGCAATATAATTTAGTCTAATTATATACAAATTTTAAATTACTCTGCTTTGTTTTTAAGAGAAAGGTTATACATAATCTCATTACTTAATTTTTCAGTTTTGCTTGTTTGTTTTTGGGCGACACCTGGCAATGCTCAGGGTTTACTCCTGGCTCTGCCTCAGGAATTACTCCTGACAGTACTCAGAGGACCATATGGGATGCCGGGATCAAACCCAGGTTGGCAGCGGGCAAGGCTATGCCCTACTCTCTGTAATATCTCTCTGGCCCAATTTGTCACTGTTTCCTTTAAATGAGGTGACGTTTTTACATTCTGGTGAATCAATTTAGAATTTCTATGCAACACTTCAAGTTATATAAAATGGAAGAAATTTTTAAAGCTTTGTGGAAAGTTTTCATGTTAAGGCTAAAAACATATTTTTAGGGGCAACTTTGGATTGCAGTGTACCAGGTTACTATAACATGGGGCTCACTGAGAATCATAGACTTTGAACTGAATTCTACTCCTAAAAACTGGCCCTCCCGTTGATTGTCGATTTGCTCGAGCGGGCCCAGTAACGTCTCCATTGGAGACTTTGTTGTTACTGTGTCTGGCATATCGAATACTCTCGGTAGCTTGCCGGGCTCTCCGAGAGGGGCGGAGGAATCGAACTCGGGTCGGCCATGTTGGCCGCTTGTAAGGTGAACGCCCTACCCGCTGTGCTATCGCTCCAGCCCTAAAAACTGGTAAATACTAATATTTAGATGACAACCACAAATTTTCTTTCACTTCAAAGTCTTTTATGTTTTGGGCCAAAGAAAGTACAGTGAATAAAGAGCTTGCCTTGCATGCTGCTCAACCAGATTCAATCCCCAGTCCCTCTGAGCTCCACTAAGAGTGATCCTTGAGGGGCTGGAGCGATAGCACAGCAGGTAGGGCACTGAGTGCAGAGCCAGTAGTAACCCCTGTGCATCACCGGGTATGACCCAAAAAGAAAAAAAAAAGAGTGATCCTTGAGCACAGAGCCAGGAGTAAGCCCTGAGCACAGCCAGGTGTGACCCCCGAAACAAAAAATAGCAAGATTTGTGTAACCAGTAATTTTCCATGATGGACAAAAACTATGGTAGTATAGGTTCAACTATAATACAATTATATTAATATCTTATACATTAAATAAACTTTACAAAAAAATTATAAATGTCCAATAGGAATATTACACCTGGACTTGGTACCAAGCTGACACATTTAGTTTTGCAAAGAAAAACAGGTTTTCAAATTATAAAGAATAATTTGTACCAAAACTTTGATCCCAAAGATGAAGGATATATGTTTGGAGTGGGGGAGTTTGGGCCACATCCTGTGATGCTCAGAGGTTATTTCTGGCTCTGTGCTCAGAAGAAATCTCCAGAGGTACTTGGAGACCAGATGTGGTGCCAGGGACTCAAACTGGGGTCATGGCTACCACATGCAAGGCAAGTGTCTTACCTCCTATCCTTAACCTCTCTGGCCCTGAAAGGCATTTTTTCAAGGAGAGATTTCATCATGAAATGAACTGGCAGAGAAGGAAAAACGAATGACCTAAGACATAAAGGAAAAAATTGCTGGCACAAATGATGCTGAGCAGAAAATGCAAACTAGGTGACAACTCATGTGCACCCAAAGGGGTTAGCCTCAGGGGGGTATGGAGGGGGGCTAACAGGCAGCCAGCACCTGTGCAGAGGGCAGGTGGCCACTGGCTAGGTGCTAGAGGGGTGCTTCCATGTTCATGGGGGGAGGCAAAGTGAATCATCTGAGAGATGGGATGAAGGCAGAGGCCCTCATCAGGAGAGGGAGGAATGGCGAATAGGAGTCACTGCAGTTACTATGCAGAGGGACACAGCGGGAGGGATCTCTTTAGGAGGGGTGAGAGGTTCAGTGGCGCCACCTCTACTTACTTTAGTTCCTCACCCACCACTCCATGGGGTGGGAGCGATAGTACAGGAGGGAGGGCACTTTCCTTGCATGCGGTCACCCCAGGTTTGATTCCGGGTACCCATATGGTCCCTGACCATTTGCCAGGAATGGCCCAAAATTCAAACACAAAAAACCTCCACTGTGGTCACCAAAAAGCTCTTTTCTGTTTATGAAGCAAATTTCCTTAGCTAGAAACTGTCCGTTTTTTCAGACTGTCTTATCTCTCATCACTCGTACACGGGTACACGGTGAGATCCTCCCCCGTCTGAGCATGACGCAAACACAAGGCAGGTGGTGAAACTCCTGCCGAGCTCCAGGACTGCGGAATCACATGCTCCGTCCTTAGCAAACACGTGAACTCCTAGAGCTGCTGACCGCCCACTTCCTCACCGCTGGCTTCGAAGCAGACTCTATCCAGAGCTCGGGGCACACTCGACACCCACACAAACTGCCCGGTCACATCCAAGCCTTTGTGCCTCCCACACCTTTCCCGCCTGGTCAACGCCCTTCCTAAGGGAGTGACTGAAGCCTAGATTTACTTTATATTGAACTGCTCTAAGTGTAGGGGAGAAAAAAGCTACCATCATTTATATGAAAGGTGGTGAAAAAGATACACACCAGATAATCAGAGAGGGCCCCATTTGTGAGTAATGAAATATTAAAAAATTAAAGAGCTGTCCTGTGTGATGGCTTCTCTGATTAGCATGGAGGCGTGAGTCAGAGCACATGGGCAGGATTTACAAAGCGTTAAACCTAGGTCTTAGGTCAGACCTTCAAAATTCAGGCCAGTCTAGCCTCTTCCTGTTTTCTGTTTGTTTTAGGGCCACATCCGGAAGTGCTCAGAGCTTACTCCTGGCTCTGCACTAAGGGATCACTTCTGGCCATGTTTGGGGGGAAATTATGGGGTGCTAGGGCTCAAATCCAGGTCAAACACACGCAAGGCAAGCACCTTACCCACTGTACTATCACTCTGACCCCTGCCCCTTTCTGTTTTGTTTGGGGCCCACATCCAGCTGTGCTCTGTGCTCCTAACTCTGTAACTCAGGAATCACCTCTGTTGCTCCAGGGACGGTATGAAGTGCAGGGGATGGAACTGGAATTCTCTCCTGCCCACTCCCTTTCTGTCTTTGTTCTTTGGCTATTCCTGGCTGTATTCAGAGAACCATGTGATTCTGGGAACTGAACCTGGGACTTCTGCATGCAAAGCCTGCACTCAGACTACTGAACCCAGGCTCTGGCCTCTTTCTGAAGGAAACTGCCCTTTGCACCCCACCTGCTGGCGAATGAGCTTCATACAGAGAACAAGAGCCTGCAGAACTCTGACTGGATCAGGAAGAGGCAACCAATCATGAAAGCTCCTGGCCTGGGCTGGAGAGTGGCAGGCAAAGATGAGCAGGTACGATCAAATTGCCACTTTTAGGAGTTGGGTAGCAGAAACCTTGGGAAATAGGGCAGTGAGCAGCAGGAGCAGAAGATGAAAGGATACCACGAGGTGGAGAGAACAAGCCTCAAGAGGCTGAAATCAATCACAATGATGAGGAAACAGATGCTATCAGCAGGAGAAAGGAATACAGAAAAGCAGTGTGAGATGTCCAAGAGACGTGCAGATGAACAAAGGGAAACAGATGCCGAGACTGAGTCGGAGCCCGCCAGAGAGAAGCCGGGGATTCCTACGTGCCTGCTTGGTTACTGGGCTCCCCACTTCCCACACGAACAGGAGTATTTTCAAAACAACCCCCCTTTTTTGTGTAAGCTAAATTAGGGAATCTCTAGTGCTCGAAACCAAGCAGGCTTGACTGGAATAACAGATCTCTCGCCTAGAGCGTTCTTGTGTTTCTCTCTGGGGGATCACGGACCTCGAAGGCCTGGCCATTTAGCAGCTCTGTGATTTCTGACATGCCATTTATCATAGTCCTACAGGGCTGTTTTTTTTTTTTTTTTTAAAGCACTCTCCAAGCTTAACTTACCATCACAACCTCCTCCACAATACTTCTACGGTGATTAGGGAAAGAGGCAGTGACTAGAGAGTGGTGAATGTTCCATTCGAGAGGCAAAATTTAGGCTCAGAAAAATTAAATGACTAGGGGCTGGAGCGATAGTACAGCGGGAAGGCACTTGCTCTGCCCCTGGCCGACCTAGGTTCCACCCCCAGTAACCCATATGGTTCCCCGAGCCCGCCAGGAGTAATTCCTAAGTGCAGAGCCAGTAGTACCACCAGGTGTGGCCCAAAAACCAAAACCAAAACCAAAACCAAAAAAAAAGTAAATGACTTGACCAACGTCAATCAGCTAGTAAGAGACAGTCAGGATTGCCAGATTCATTGAAAATTTTCTATAATTCTTTGTAATATCTCCTCCACTCAAGTTTTCCTTTTGCCTTAAATGTTCCTGACCCCAGGACATGTCAGTATCCTGGAAAGTAGGCAGGAAACTCTAAGGGCCCCATGGCTGCCCCTCTGCCCATTTCTCCTTACCAAGATGCTTTTGCAGGAAGGCCAACATGGCATGCACCACAATCTCCTGTCCTTCGTAGGGATCCAAGCTCCCAGAGATTTGATTGGCGAAAAATTTACCGATCCAGTTACTACTCACAAAGGCAAAGTCAGTTTGACTTCGATGAACAGAACCACTGAAGAAAAAGAAAAAAACAACTGGTAAGGGCCTAGAGACGGGGGCATAGGAGAGTCGTGAAGTACCTACTATGTGCATTAGCAACACTCTTGTAAGGGTATTTGTCCCTGTGACAGGATCAGAGAAGAGAAATGATCTGCCTACACAAGTAAAAGATAACTAACAAATCTAAATGCAGGGATGCCTGGCTTGAAAGCTGCATGCACCCCTAGACTCTAATGACCCAGGGGTTCAAGGAAAAGGCTGTGTTAGTTCAAGCCAGAAGAGAGGCAAGGGGGCAAGGTCTTAAGTGCCCCCCACTTCTCTGTCATTATAAACTCTGTCATTATAAACTGTCATTATAACAAATTCATTCCTTCTTCAGACCTGTACCACAAAGTAAACAAGAAAAGAGTTACCCATCTTTATTAAAATATTTATGGGGCCGGAGTGATAGTATAGTGTGTAGGGCATTTGCCTTGCACATGGCCGACCCAGGTTCAATCCCTAGTGTCCCATATGGTCCTTTGAGCACTGCCAGGAGTAATTCCTAAGAGCAGAACCAGGAGTAACCCCTGAGCATTGCTGGGTATGACCCAAAAAAGCCCCCTCCCAAAAAAATAAAAAAACTGAACTTAAAGAGTATGAAAAAGAAATTTTCTCCATTAGAAGACCTTTGACATCAAATGTATTTCATTTGAAGGCAAAATTCTCAATAGGGTTCATGTTGAGCTAATTACTCAAGCATGAATTCACTAGTTATGCCACAAGGAAAGAAAAAAATATAAATGCTAACCTGGATACCATGCCAAAAAAAAAAAAGAAAGGAAGGAAGGAAGAAAAAGAAAGAAAGAAAGAAGGAAGGAAAGAAAGAAGGAAAGAAGGAAAGAAAAGAAAGAAAGAAGGAAAGAAAGAAAAGAAAGAAAGAAAGAAAGAAAGAAAGAAAGAAAGAGAGAGAAAGAGAGAAAGAGAGAAAGAAAGAAGTTTAGGTTGTTTATGGGCAGAAGTTCTTGGTGATTTAGAAGAAACTAAGGGAACCACAGCTGCCCAGTAAGGGAAGATGCCGGCGATCGTCACCTGGGGACTACTCACAGAACAGTGATGATCCTGGACTGTTCGTGCTGGGTACACAGTTTTTTCATTAAGTTGATACTCTCTGTTGTCTGGAAATTCTCAGCATTGATGAAGAACACAGGGCCTCGGGCCTTGGGGTAGAAGTCACGTTCCAGAGGAAACATCCAAGCATCCAGCGCCACAGCGCACCTGGCAAGGGACCAGACTGCTGGAATTGCCATGCAGAAAGCCGGGCAGAAACAGAGGAGGGCTGTGGCAAAGGGACATTTCTTCACCTCAGTTGGGCAGAACCCAGAAAGTCAGGAAACACGAGGGAAGAAAAGGTTCTAATCAAAGATCCTTTAAACCTACAACACTTTAACTTGTCAAAGTTCCTTCTAGAATTTAAATTCATCAAGAGGCAAGAACCTGACCTTTTCTTCCTTGTTAGCTACTCTTAGGCAGCTAACCTGAGTTACACAAAATGGCACTTTATTCATTTAATCATTCATTCATTCCTAATTCCTTGAGTACCTAATACGTGCTTATCCCATATCAAAGAACATAGTTCTTGCTCTGAAGGAGCTCCCAGTCTAGAATGGGGGATGGAACAAACTAGGTAACTAAGGAGAGCTTAATACTCTGATTGGTCGAGGTACCATTTAAACCCAAAGTATATGTGACAGGGAACAGGGAAAGCTTTCTGGAAGCCACAACATAAGACCAAGATAGACGTCAAATAGAAATCCCAGTTTCTGCCAAGGACAAAATTTAGGCTTCAAGATGACCACCATCCCCATATAACCAGTCTTCTTCATCTTATTAAAAGACAATAACGGTGCATGCAAATGATGGATGCACAATTGAAAAAATGTGCTTTCTATCTTTGTTTCTCCTCAGATATTACCAAGCCCTGAAACTCTGAAAGTACATCCTGATTATGAGTATTTTTTTCTGTTCTATGGCTGCTAATCTTGGAGGGGGGTGGAGTTGTTTTTTGTTTGGGGGGGGGGGCTGTTTTATTTTGTTTTAGGTTTTGGGCCACACCCAGAGGTGCTCAGAGCTTACTCCAGGGCTTTGCCCTCAGGAATTACACCTGGCAGTGCTTTAGGAGACCAAAGGAGATTGAATCCAGCTCAGGCCCCAAGACTACTATTCTAATGCAAACCTCTCGCCTTTTTTTTTTTTCTTTTTGGGTCATCGTAGTGATGATGCACAGGGGTTACTCCTGGCTCTGCACTCAGAAATTACCTCTGGCAGTGCTCAGGGGACCATATGGGATGCACCCTCCCTGTTGTGCCATTGCTCCAGCCCAGCAAACCTCTAACTTGAAGGCTGAAACAGCTTCTAAGTAGTCTCCTGGTTTAGTTTTGTTTTGCTACATTCTGGGCTGGAGCTATAGCACAGCAGGTAAGGCCTTTGCCTTGCATGTAGCTGACCCGGGTTCGATTCCTTCACCCCTCTCAGAGAGCCCAGCAAGCTGAGTATCCTGCCAGCACGGCAAAGCCTGGAAAGCTACCCATGACAAAGCCTGGCAAGCTACCTGTGACGTACTTGATATGCTAAAAACACTCACAATAGTGACCGCTTTGGTAAATCAATGAACAATGGGAGGACAGTGTTTCAGAGCTAAATTCCACTCTTCACATACTGCCAGAAGGATCTTTTTTCAAAATAAACAATCTTTTTTTCTTTTTGGATCACTCCCGGACTTGCACAGGGGTTACTGGTTACTCCTGGCTCTGACTCAGGAATTACTCCTGGCGGTGCTCAGGGGACCATATGGGATGCTGGGAATCAAACCCGGGTTGGCCGTGTGCAAGGCAAATGCCCTACCTGTTGTGCTAATGCTCCAGCCTCGATATAAACAAGATTTTTTTTTTAAATCTCTACTTAAAATACTTCAATTACTTTCCAGCATACTTGGAATAAAACTGAATTTCCCACTCTGGTCCAAAGATCTGGCCCTTGCTTAGCTCTCTGATCACTCCTTGGAAGTCTTCGCAGCCACCTGCTAAGCAGCTCAGGATCTCTCCAGGCCTCACTGCCTACCCTTTGCCTCCAATCCCTGCTCTTCTCTTAAACTGTTGTTGTTGGTTTCAAATCAGTTAATCAGTCATATACACACTAAGCCCTCATGTACACTGATACAGCGAGCTGAACCCTCTGACTGGAATGAACTTCCCCAAGACCTTTCTATGCTGACTTCTTGGTTAGCATAGAAACCAAGTGCTCAGAGGAGCCTCAAATCCTCTAGAATGTCTTATTTTCTTCATTGCACTTGAATCTTGGGGGTCTGATGATTTGTTGCCTTATTTATTAGTCTGTCTCCTCCCAAAATAACAATTCCATGAGGTCAAAGACCTTGCTTTCATGCTCATCACTGAATCCCCAGTTGGCCACTAGAGTTCCTCGTACGTAATACTTGCATAACAAGAACTTGGAGGGGGAATGGAAGGTAGGTGGCGCTAACAGCAGTGTGACTGGGCAACTCACCGAAATTGGGTTTCCATGGCCAAAGCCAAAATAGCTGTGGTCCCTCCAAACGAATGTCCCATTACAGCCACATGGTTCATGTCAATGCCATCCTGAGGAAAGCAGTAAGCTTAGCCAAGTCAAAAACACAAGACTGCCTATCAAGAATGTTTCCAGGGCAAGAGGAAGAAAAATGTAAAATAATGCAGCAGAAGTACAATGCAGTGCTTCAGCCCCCCCCGCCCCAAATAAGCTTATGCCCATTGACAAGCAGTCAGTCTTCTACAGGCAGAAATTCTAGAAATGTTTAATTTTTGTTTTTGTCATTTTACCAACCACCTGGACTAGGGCAGACATTCAACTATCTGTGAATAAATGAAAGGAGAGGGGTTACGTGATCCACACTGACCCATCAGTGTGAGAAAGCATGCTGCATAAGAACTCTGTCCATCCTCTTGCTCCCTGCTTTGCAACCAGTTCAATAGGACGACACCTGGACCAAGGTGAGGACAGAATGGGGATCCCGTTGGCCCACTACTCTGCTGTGATACAAGTTCTACTCCTCTGGATATCTATCCTTTGATTTCAGCATAGGGAGTTGGCTGGCTCTAACTTGCTCTGCAAGTATCTATTTCTGGTTGTCCCCCTTTAGGGCACAGTTATATAAAGTCATGCAGCTGCCTTGCTAAGGAGCTGGGGAAATCTCTCCAGGCCTCACTAACGTCTGCCTCCAATCCTTGCTCTTTGTTTTAGCTGTTTTAAAATAGAGTTGATATAAACTCTAAACTCCTGATATATAGACTTTCCCTCTCTCAATTCTTTTCTAACCTCCCATTAACCTCCTCCCAAATGGGTCCATTTCCAACGTGTCCTTGCAGAGCATTCTTTCGTAAACACTGGCAGACAGAATCGATGCTTCCCTTCTTTTTACTCTTGGAATACTGTGGCTTACATTTTTGCATAACTATATTCGGAGAGCCCGGCAAGCTACCGAGAGTATTCGATATGCCAAACACAGTAACAACAAAGTCTCCAATGGAGACGTTACTGGGCCCGCTCGAGCAAATCGACGATCAACGGGAGGGCCTTTACCTTTACCTTATATTCGTAAATGGTTTTCTTATCCTTTCGTTTTCTTTTCTTTTTTTTTTTTGAGTGGGGGACCCTCTACTCCATGGTTCATGGCTCATGCCTGGCTCTGTGCTCAAGGATCACTTCTGGAGTTGCTCAGGGGACAATGTGTGGTACAGGTCAGCAATGCAAGGCAAGTGCTTAACCCCTAGCTTACCCCCTTATTCTTTTACAGGTACATTTTATTTCACTCTAGTATAAATGGTTAGTGACCACTGAATCTATTCTGCTTCCTCCTAGACATGCAGCTCGTCTAAATTTTCCAGCAGTTTGATAAGGCCTGTGACTAAGTTCTAATCAATAAGATGTAACTCAAAGTGGTACCTCTACCTCCAGGGCCACTCTTTAGTACAAATCTCCAGGCCCTTTCTCATTCTGCCACCTTCACAGTACACAGAGAAATTGGGTTTCACAAGCAGAAGAAGGTAGAACAATAAGATAGAAGGAGTCTAAATCCCTGAGGCACCCTTGGTACAAGAGCACCCTTTATTTTTCTTTCCCCCACTTTAAATGGAAGAGACACAAATTTCATTGTGTTGGGCCAGAGTGATAGTACAGCAGGTAGGGCACTTGCCTTACATGCAGCTGACCTGGGTTTGGTCCCCAGCATCCCATATGATCCCCCAAACCCTCAAGGAGTGATCCCTGAGCACAGAGCCAGGGATAAGCCATGAGCACCACCAGGTAGGTCCCAAAAATAAAAACAAATTTATTGTGATAAACCAAAGGTTTTTAACCCATTCACACTGTGGACCAGAGCAGTTTATGGACCCCATGGTTGAAAACCACTGTGTTAAAGCCACTATGATTTGGAATTATGTGTTACAGCGATCAGCTTTACCATTCGCTGTTACACATTCCTTTCACACAGCTTCCTTACTTGTGAACACTGAGGATACTACCCACCTTTTGCTATGGCAAACAGCACTGGCACGAATATCCCTGCACACACCTCACAGTACATGTATACACAGATCTGTAGAGTAAGTTCCCAAAACTGGAAATAGCTGGGTCAAAGAGTATGGGCAGTTATACTCTTGACAGTTATTGTCAAAGTGCCCTGCATGGGGCAGTCTGCACTTGGGCTGGCATTGTAGGAAAGTATTCATGCCCCCACAGTGTGGCCAATAAGTGAATCTTTAACTTCAGCATCTTACCCAATCAGAGACCTGAACTTACTTAGCCTATTTTCTCATTTTTTTTTTTTCTACAAGAGGCTGCTTCTTAACTAACCCAGCTAAACTATAGCCTGCCATTCTCCAGGGTTTGCCTCAGGCTCGCAGGCCCACAGGAGCCCATCCAGTGTCAGGCAGGGGGAGATATATACAGCAAACAGTGCATGAAGCACTTTTGGTTTCAGATTCTGCTTTATTGCTGGCCATGCAGAGAAATGCTTCTCACTGGAAGATTTGACCAGAGTCTTTACTGATTTTTGGGTCACATCTGGCAGCGCTCAGGGCATACCTCTGGCTCTGGGCTCAGGTATCACTCCTGGCCATGCTCAGGGAACCGTGGACAGTGCCAGAGATAGGACTGGGTCAGCTGCGCACAAGCAAGCACCTTAACCCCTGTAAGATGTCTCTGGACCTGACCAGGGCCTTTAAGAGGTATTTTCTAAAAAGCACAGGTGCACAAAGCACAGGTTTCAGAATCAAAAAGTACCAAGTGAAAACCGTACTTTACCATTTACTTAGCTGCAAAACTTTGGGTGGATATTTAGCCTCTTTGAACTATGGTTCACTTTAATGTAAATAGGTAATTATTCTGCCTACTATGGTCAGTGCGATAGTATAGCAGTTAAGGTGCTTGCCTTGCACATGGCTGACCCATGTCAGACAGATAGTATAGGAGGCAAAATATTTGCTTTGCATGAAGCTGGACCAAATTTGATCCTGCCATTGTATATGGTCCTCTGAGCACCACCAGGGGTCACTTCAGAGCACAGAGCCAGGAATAGCCCCTGAGAACTGTTGGGTATTGTCTCAAAGCCCCCTGAAATACAAAACAAACACAGAAACAAACAAAACCCATGGCTATAAAAAAAAAATCATGCATAGGGAGCAAAGAGACAGCTCAATAGGCTGAGCATATGCTTTGCATGGAAGAAGCTCAGGTTTGGGGGCTGGAGCCATAGCACAGTGGGTAGGGTGTTTGCCTTGCACGCGGCCGACCTGAGTTCAATTCCCAGCATCCCATATGGTCTCCTGAGCACCACCAGGAGTAATTCCTAAGTGCAGAGCCAGGAGTAAGCCATATGCATTGCCAGGAGTGATCCAAAAAGAAAAACAAAGAAGCAGCAGCTCAGGTTTGATCCCTGGCACCATATGACCCTCTCCCACCCAAGAACTGCAGGGAGCAACCCCCAAGAAAGTCATTTCATCACCCATGCATCAGCAAAGAACTCAGTATGGCTCTCAAAAAAAAAAAAAAGTACAACACAAATGAAAACTATGCCATAGAACTGGCCGAAGGAGATATTCGGGGCTGGAGAAAGAGTAGTACAGGGGATAAGACATTCGTCTTGCACATTGCAGACCTGGAACCTCATATGGTCTCCCAAGTTCAAGGAGTGATCCCTGAATGCAGAGCCAGGAGTAGGCCCTGAGTACAGCTGGGTTTGGCTCCAGAATCTAAACAAACAAACAAACAAATCAGGAGCAGAGCAGAGCTGAGGACTTGGAATGTTAGCAACCAGCTTTCTTACCTAATGGAGTGTGGCGGGAATGAAACCCACGTACAGAGTGAAACAGACAAGTGGAGGGCAGGAGAGTGCCAGGGCTTTGCTGACAATGTTTGAGATCCTAGATCTAGCCCCATGGGCTTAAAGTCACACTGCCCTGGTCTCCTAGGTATGTGAACCAACACATTCTATTTAGGGTTAGGCTTGGGAATGTGGTTTCTGTTAGTTGAAACCAAGGCAGTCCTGATGAAGACACCAAAGGTAATTTTGACTGTTGCCATACCTTCAGAGTCATCAGATTCAACCCACCAGGCAAGAGGTTGGGGACGGGATGCCCAGCCGAGGCCTCCTGCAGAATCTTCAACACCCTCATGCACTCACAGACTCTCTGATGCACCTGCAACAGAGACCTTCTCAGTGGGAGCTGGAAGACTCAGTGTGACCACCCTAGAGAATCTTCCTCTAGAGGGTTGAGGCAGAACACACAGACAGCAAGTCTAAGACCTTCTCAGCAGTTCTCATAAGCATCACCTCAGGTCACAAAGGAGAAGCCACAGTGCTCAGACTACCTACTTACCCTTGGATTGTCAGGAGGATCGTTTAAGACCAAGTTCATGAAAGCATTTGAGAAGGGGGGAAAAAAAAAGAAGGAAATAACAGTTGCTTTATTCCAAGTCTAGTACTGGAGTTCAGATCTCTACTGGGCCACTAGTAGCACATACCTATTGCTTTTGTCTAACACCCACTCCCACCTTATCCTGTTAACTCAAACTTTTCAGAATTCCCCTAGTGGAATCTTCCTGTTTTAGTACTTCTCCCCAGCTTGAGGGCTCTCTCTCCAGCATTTTTCATATTGCAGCTTCGGGCAGGAGTGGGAGACGGGGACCGCAATCCCAAGATGGTCCCCATTCTTTAAGAGGCTAAAGGCAAATATAAAAGTATGCCTGGGTTGTCACGAGCTGTGTTTCTAATCTCAAAAAAATCAGTCAGTTTGCAGGACACTCACCAGTAGAGAAAGAGACGAAAATGAAGAGCAAGTCCTGGGGGGTGACTCCTGCTTTCGTTAGGCCATTTGTTCGCTAATTCTCCATTTTGCCTAACTAACAAGCTTATGCTAAGTTTCCGTCACTTGCAGTTGTAAGTCTTGACTAAGACTTCATTTCTTTCCACTGATGGGGCAAGCTCAGACTTACAGTGACTGATGTTTCAAGAGAGAAAGTTCACTAAAACTCTCAGTGTGTGTAATATCGAACAGAAAAAAATCACCCACACTGGCCTAAGCCTACCTGGGAATTCCGAACAGGGAATTCCTTTTCTCCTTCTGCAATTTTCCGGTAGGGGATCCATTCCTCTTGCAGGGATTTGCCACTTGGATGCTCCTCGGGGGAACTCTTGTAGAAGCAGGTGGCTGCAGCTGACCCATCCCTGAAACACATAAAACCAGATCTTTGAGCTTATTGCTCCTTTTCCTTAGCCACGAGTCTTTGGATCAACCTTTTGCTAACAAGGTCACAAGATCTGTGAGCATGCATAGGATAGTGGAAAGAACAAAATGTGGACTCTAACTTGGACTTGAATCCTAACTCAGTTGCTACCCAGATATTTTATTATTTTTTTCTTTTTGGGTCACACTCAGTGATGCACAGGGGTTACCCGTGGCTCTGCACTCAGGAATTACTCTTGGCAGTACTCAGGGGATATGGGATGCTGGGAATCAAACCCAGGTTGGCCGCGTGCAAGGCAAATGCCCTACCCGCTGTGCTATCACTCCAGCCCTACCCAGATATTAAAAAAAAAAATCACCATTAAGTGGGTATATTTTTTCCACCATTAAAATGGGTATATGATAGGAAGTGGACCACATATGGTCTTCTGAGCCCACTAGGAGTGATCTCTGAAAACTGCTGGTTGTGACCCAAAAACCAAAATAGTAATAATAATAATAATAAAGTGAGTATATGGGCCTGGAGATTGACTGTTAGAATGGCTGCAGTGTAGATGTGATGCCCAGGTTCAATCCCCAGCACTGCACCACAGCACAAAGCATGATTCCCTCGCATTGCTCTTGTGCATCCCAGTGTTGCATCAAGTATACAACACCCCCATCCCACCTCCAAACATCAGAGTGCGGTGTGTGAGGTCTGGAAATTACAACAACCAAACCAAGAACAACAACCCCCCAGAAAAAGGAAAGGGGGAAAATGGGTGTCAACAATAGCCCTGCACGCCCATGATGACTGCCATCCCTCACCTGTGCTCTGGGACAGCGACCACAAAGCCACGGGAAGCCAGCTCCATGCAGAAGGCTGAATACAAAGTCCTGGAGATTCAGGAGGAATAGAGAGAAGTGATCAAAAGAATGGCCCGCTAGCCCTCTGTGTTCCAGCCCAATACTGCGGCGACCAGTTTCGAAGATTGCATGGAAGAACTTCCATTGGCAAAGCACTTTCAAGGTGCTTTCTCTAGCCAGTACTCTTTCTTAGACAAAGTTCTAAGCATCCTCCCTCTAGGAAGCACTGGCAAAACCATCCATGGATGGGATTTTCCAGGCCCAAATCCAACCCATCCATCACCTCCCAAACGCAAACCAGTCACTTCAACAACTGTGTTGGTATGACAAGTTAGTTGGCAAGCTCCTTAAGGAAAAAGTGTTTCTTTTAAATGCACATACAGGGACTGGAAAGATAGAGCAAGGGACTACGAACATATAAAGCATGTGTGAAGCCCAGATTCAATCCTGGAGATGAGCCCTCCTCCCCTGATTAATTAAAATGCAAATAATATGCACCTGTAATTTGACATATACAATTTTCTCTCCTCTTTCTAAAAAAAAAAAAGGAACAAGACACTGCTAATTGCCTGCCCCAGACACTTATTTCCACATTTCTCCATAATAGCAGAATCTTATTTCAACAGAAGATACTGTTGTGTCATCAATATATGACATTTTCCAGCCTCCACTGCAATCAGATTTGTCCATGTGATTAAGTTCTAACCCAGCCTTAAAAATATAATCCCAAGGCCAGAGAGATAGCTCAATAGGTTAGGCTCATGCTTTGCATATGGAAGACCTGGGTTTCACTCCCAGCACTGCACGGTCCCCTGGAAACCCCATGACATGGAGAGTGACCCCATGATAGGGAGCTGGGAGTAGCCCATTGACACTGATGAAACGAAAACAACAACAAAAATGATCTGGGGCCAGCCAAAGAGCTCAAAGGCCTGAGCACATGTTTTGCATGTGGGAAACCCAGGTTCAATCCATGACACTGCATGGTGCCTTGGAGTACCACGAGGAATGGCCCCCAAGCACAGAGCCAAGAGCCATGAATAGCCTGTGGGTATGACCATTCCCCCAATCCAGTATTTCTTTAAATGCTATCCTTGTAAATGAATTTTTCTAGTAGATTGATTTTAATTTTTTTTTTTTTAGTGCGGTGCCATGAAGGCCATGTGGTGACAGGGATCTAAGCCAGGGCCCATACATGCCAGCCAGCCAGGCACACCAGCCCTTGGTGCTAATTCCCCAGTCTAATACACTTTAGTTTTTAAAAAAATAAAAAGAAGAAGAAAGGTTTGGAGCAGAGAGATGATACAGCAGCTAACTGCTTTCCTTGCATGTGGCCAACCCAGGTTTGATCCCTAGCACCCTTGAGCCCAGCCAAGAATGACCCTTGAATGCAGAGGCAGGAGTAAGCCCTCACTCTGATGGGTGTGCCCCAAAACTAAAACAAATAAACAAAAGGTTTATAGAGGCCACACCTGATGGTGTTGAGTGTGTGTGGAAATGGCAGGGACTACTCCTGGTGATATCTGGCTCTGGGTGCAGGTCTGGGTCAATGCTGGAGCCCAGCACTGTGATACTTGGGTCTGCTGGTGCTCTCAGGAGGCTGTGCTATGACAGGAGCAAATTCAAGGTCTCTAACATTAAGCACAGGTGTTCAGGGGTTACTCCTGGCTCTGTGCAGAAGGCTCACTTCTGGTGATGCTCAGGGGATGTAGTGTCGGGGATTGAACTGGTGTCAGCTGCATCAAGGCAAGCACCTTAGCCCCATGTGCTATCTCTCTGGCCCTGGTAGATAAATTTTGAAAAGGAAAAAGAGAGGGTTGGAAAGATAACTCAGTGGGTTGGGACATGCAGAAGGACCAGATTTAAAGCCAGAGCAACTCCCAAGCACTGAGCCATGGGATAGCCCCAAGCCAACAACAAAAAGCAAAATGTGATGGAATTCTGTAGTAAATTTTTTGGGATGCAGGGGAGAAACACCCAGCAAAGCCTGGTGGGAATGGCCCCTGCCCCGTGTACAGGGAACCATGGGGTACTGGTAACTGAATAGGGGCTTCCCACATGCAAAGCATGCACTCAGCCCTTTGAGCTATCTCTCCAGGCCCAAGAGGTGGAATTTGAATAACACATTAAGTTTAGCCCAGTATAGCTAAATTATCATCTGAATGTACAATAAAAAATTTAAAACTAATCAAATATTTCATTACATTCTATTTTTATCGGGCCAAAGTTGAGTTTTGGAGTCAGCTGCTATTACATTCTATTTTTAAAAAATAAAGTCTGGCCCTGGGAGATCACTCAAAGGACAAGTGCCACGGCATGCCAGAGGCCAGGGCTCTATCTCAGCATCCCATCATCCTGGGAATTGCCGGGAAAAACCCCACGCTATTTATGTTTGAATGTTGCCCAAATATAAACAAACAAATAAAAGTAGTTTTTGAAATTCAGAGTGTGTTTAATAGTGACAATACACCAAAGTTTGGACCAGCCATATTTTAAGTACTCAATAGCTACATCTAGCTAGAGGCCACTATATTGGACAGAGCAGCTGAAGTCTGCTTTGGTGATGTAAACAATTAATTTTTGTTTTGTTTTGTTTTGGGGGGCACACTGGTGATGCTCAGGGGTTACTCCTAGCTCTGAACTCAGGAATCACTTGCAGCAATGCTCAGGGGACCACATGGGACTCCAGGGATCAAACCCAGGTCAGCACCTACCCACCGTATTATCACTCCAGCCCGGGGTGTAAGCAATTATTACAGCACATATACAGAAGATGTCCTTAGAAAGGGAGTGCTCCCTACAACCCAGTGCCTGGATTGTAGATGTAATGCATAGTGGTAAAACTCTGGGGCAAGAGATGCCAGCCTTAGAAATGGAAGCCACGCATGGTGGAACAAGATTATGAGAAGTCTGGATCTCCGAAACTTCATGGAACCACATTAGCCCTGTGTACCACTAGTTTTCTTTAGCATTCTTTTTTTTTTTTCTTTTTGGGTCACACCTGGTGATGCTCAGGGGTCACTCCTGGCTTTGCACTCAGGAGTTACTCTGGGCAGTACTCAGGGGACCATATCGGATGCTGGGAATCAAACCCAGGTCAGCCCTGTGCAAGGCAAATGCCCTACCCGCTGTGCTATCACTCCAGCCCCTTTAGCATTCTTTCTTTCTTTCTTTCTTTCTTTCTTTCTTTCTTTCCTTCCTTCCTTCCTTCCTTCCTTCCTTCCTTCCTCTTTCTTTCTCTCTCTTCCTTTTATTGTGAAACAAGAAAGTTTTTATTGAAACTTATTTAGAAAGATGTGAGGAGAGAGAGAAAAGTATACGTTTGCTTCTCCAAAGCAGAAATAAGCATGCAAAGAAATATTGAGATAAGCGAGCAAGATATATATTCAAGGGAGATAGTTTTCTTTTATCTGAACAAGAAATCATCTTTATAATTTTTATTTTTGGAGTTTTTCTGTGGGTCCCTCCCAGAGATTCTTGGCCAATGAGGCCAGAGGGCTTAAAGCTAGGGCCCCAAAAAAAAAGAAAAAAAAAAAAAAAAGCTAGGGCCCCATGACGCTGAACTGCTCAGCCCGTAGTGCTTGGAGGCTTTCATCCAGGGATGCTTGGAGGTCCCTGGGGCGCTGAAGGTGGAACTGTGGTCCGATGCACGCAAGGCATGTGCCTTAACCATTGTACTATTTCCCCGACCCCAGAAGGTCAGTTTTTCAAGCATCTTTTCACCTTTTCCACTCTTCTGGTGTAGACAGAGAACTAGATTTAACAGCCAGAGAGATTTCTGATCCCTGCTCAGTTCAAACTCTAATCCTGGGCAAGTCTGCTTTTCAGAACCCACTTGCTCATCTGAAAAATACACTTTTCTACCTGCCTGCCTACAGGACTGTGTGGGAACCAAAGGAGAGAAAGGCACAATGGGAATATTTGGGGTTTCTTTAAACATACATGATCCTCCCTGGAATGAGAAGTCATAAGATTATGAACAAGAGGATTTACTTGTTTGTTTGTTTTTGTTTTGGGGCCATATCTGGTGATGCTCAGGGGTTACTCCTTCCTCTGCACTCAGGAATAACACCTGATGGGTGCTCAGGAAACCATATGAGGGCCCCGGGGCTTGAAACAGGTCAGCCATATGCAAGGCAAATGCCCTACCCACTGTGCTATCTCTGGCTCCAGAGGAGAATTTTAGAGCCCAAATTAACCATGGATTCAGCGGAAGGAAACTAGGTCCCTTCCTTGCTCTGACCTTTATCTTGAAGTTTGTGTAATATTTATAACTGATTCACCATGTCAATGAAGTATTAAGTCTCAAGATAGATTCTGAGCAAGAAAAACTAAAAGCATGTATTTTCTTAGTCTTATATAAAATAACTGTGAAATCACAGGATGTTTCTTGGTTCTTTTCCCTGCTAGACATCTTTCCCAAGCATGCACTCTCTCTTACTTGGTATGGAATACGCAGTTCCAGCACATGCCCTGGCACACAGCAAGTAGCAAACTGACTGAATAAGAAATCAGTATTGAGGAGCTGGAGAGACAGCACAGTGGGTAAGGTGCTTGCCTTGTACATTGCTAACCCAGGTTTGGTCCTGAACACCATGTATGGTCAATCCCTCACATATGCTCCCCATGCCCTGCCCTGTCAAGAGTGATCTCTCAGTGCAGAGCTAGGAGTAAGTGCTGAGCATTGCCTGTTTTGGGTATGGTCCAAAACAACAACAACAACAAAAAGAAAGCCATACTGAGGCTAGAGGATAGTATAGTGGGTCGGGCACTTGCCTTGCATTCAGGCCGACCTGGGTTCAATCCCCAGTATCCCATTTGGCCCCCTGAGAACTGCCAGGAGTGATTTCTGAGTGCAGAGTCAGGAGTAACACCTGAGCATTGCCAGGTATAACTTAAATACAACAAACACCACCCTCCCACCCCTTGCCACCAAAAAAAAAGAAAAAAGGAAGTAGAAAGCAATACTGAAAACCAGGTTGTCTTTCCAGCCTCTTGCTGTGGCTTATAGTTACCTGAGCCTTTAGTAA